TATTCCACATCTTGCATTAAATATTTTCTACAACATAATCTATCTAGTGACAGGGGTTGTTTAGTCAAAATGATGGTTCTTCTGATATAAGATTATTTATGACACAGATTTTTGGCTGATTTTTTTATGACACAGCCATATGGCCCATCCTTATGGGTACTGGGTGGATTACTAACTCAGATAACATTGATACAAGCAATGCGATTTGTGCCTGAGACCAATTCATGGGAATAAATGTGTGTAGACATTAAAGGTTGTGATCAATGTTAGCTGTAGGGGGTGTATTAAATCACCAGCCATGTTGCCCTGGCAGGTGCCCAGAGCCTGCAGGATGAGCTGAAGCTCTCTGACGGCAGCTGCTGCCTCCTCTCCACAACACATCTCAGGCTCCATCACCAGCTCCATCAGACCAACACCTACAGACAGAGACACACAGCCTTCATATCAGACACTGTCCACAAAGATACAGTCATTATGTTTCTGTATGAGTAAAGAAGCAGCACCTGCTCGGTTTAGATCTATTAAAGTCTGGCTCCGTTCATTATCATGGAGACTCTTTCCACTGTCTTGCTCAAGCTGGATCTGTTTGATCTTCACACTCTTGGTTACCACTTGATTCCTTCTGCGACCTTCAAAAAGACTATAGACCAGTGTTCCATCCACTGCTATGGGAAGCCTCTGCTGAGTGATCTGGTAGCCTGCCTGAAAACACACATCGGTATGTGTCGAGACCATTTGAATTGCTACACAGAAGTTTATCTAGACCGAAATAGATCTGTTACAGTAATGCACTTCTGTTTCTGACAGGGGTTTCCAAACAGAAGGAGAGTGCTAGAAAACTAAAACAATAATAGATTTTGTCATTTTGACAATTTTATTCTGCATTTTAAATACTGGTCAGAAATAATATTAAATCACAGTTACTTAATATAACCTAATAAAAACTAATAAATATTTTCTAGACAATATTTTACACATACACTACAGTTCAAAAATGTGGGGTCGTTGACTTTTTTTTTTTTTTTAAAGGCGTCCTGTCATGCTTTTCTACTTTTTCAACTTTAATTAGTGTGTAATATTTGAGTATTTGTCACAATGGTACTCATTTAAATAATCCGTGCCCACGGAATATGCAAAAAAAGTTGGCGAGGCCTGGTTGGGCTGCATCAGAAAAGTCAAAGAGAGACAGTATTTTCCACAACATTTCCAAAACTCATTTGTTTAACCTTCCTAAGGCTGATAAACTTTTTAAATGTATTTTAAACACTGTTCCTGAACATTATAACTTTTGTCTGTGCGCTGCACATTTTATGAAGAACAGCTTGTTTACTGTTGCTTTTGTAAGCTCTCGTTTTTATTAGAGGGTTCGCCGCTTCTTAGGAAAATAATGTGATCAAATAATGTTTGTATAACGTTAGTTTTCTGACAAATGTCATGATTAAATGGTGGAAACATCTAATGTATAAGAAAATTACAACAACAAAAAAATCTCTCTGACACTTCCAGTGAAATCGGTGTTTGCAAAGTCTGTGCATGAAATCCGTTCAGGACGATCCTCTTGTTTGTTGACATTGTCAGGGTCTGAATTTGGCTCAAATAGGTTTGAATTAACCTTATTATTTCAACCCGATCTCACGGGAATTCGTACGAATTTTACGAGGTGGCTAATTCGTAACAATTCATACGACCTCACTCGTACGAATTAGTATGATTTTGCTAAATCGTACATATTTTACGAATTGGCCAATTCGTATGAATTCGTACGAATGACCTACCCCTTACCCCGCCCCTAAACCTAACCATCACGTGGGTTTAGACAAATCGTACAAATTCGTACGAGTAAGGTCATACAAATTAACCACTTTTTAATCATTCGTTGAATTCGTACGAATTGGTCGTGAGATAGGGTAGTATTATTTACACTAGAGAGAAGAACTCGCAGTTATGGAGGGGCAGGACATTTATCGAACATGTGCAAAGTGGTGCCAATCACAACACACTGGGCAAGCTAACCAATCACAGCACATTTCATATTTCAGAAGGAGGGGCTTCGTTGAAATTGAGCCAGACTGGGGAGAGAGGAGCTGTATAATGCAAAATATGTAAAAAATAATGAATTCTAAAACATATTCTAGTTCACCCCAAAAACAAAATCAAGACTTCGTAAAAGGCCATAATAGGACCCCTTTAATAGCCTTTTAATAACACAGCAAGGATACATTAAATTAATCAAAAGTGACAGTAAAGACTTTTGCATTGTTACCAAATAAATGCTGTTCTTTTAATTCTATTCATCACGAGGAAAAAAAATCTATTACGGTTTCCACAATAATATTAAGCAGCACAACTGTTTTCAACATTGATAATGAAAAGAAATGCGCCTTGAGCAGCAAATCAGCATATTGGAATGATTTCTGAAGGGTCATGTGACACTGAAGACTGGAGTAATGATGCTGAAAAATAAGCTTTACCATCACAAATCAAATAAAAGCATACAAGATAATTATCAAAAATCAGATTAACCCCAAACTTTTGAAGGGTAGTGTAATTTTTACACAGTATAAATGAGGTCTTTCTTTAAACATTAAATTATAGTTGCCTTTTGTATTTTAGGGGATTGTCATAATTGGGTGACTGTAGCATCAAAGCCAATGATGTGCTTTGAGTCAGACCTCTTTCAGATTTGACTGGAAATCTAATTGTATGACCTTAAAACATCAAAATTGTATAGTCACAGTAGTCTTTTGTGAAGAACCATCATCAGGATAAAATCTGGGGTTGGATAGGCTTAAAAGGCCAGGATTAGGGTTATGACTAAATGAAACCACATACAGATATTTGTGATCTGGCTACATTTTCAACCTCCTTCAGTTTAACTGTGAAGCAAAACAGAGCACTCGTAACTGTTGCTATGGCAACACCATGACAAAAAAAAAACACTAGAAATGTATCATAGTTATTGGCATGCAAAAGAATGAAGGAAAGGGGAACAAGCAATTATCCATTACCATCTGTGTGTTGTACCTGATCAACTACTTCATGACTAGCAAAAAAAAACAAACAAATGTAAGCACTTAAGAAATTAAATTAACACTAATGAAGAGTGACAAATTCCTCAGAACTCAAAGATTCCCTCCTCCATTTCAATATCTGAGCTTTCTCAATGCCAAATTGATTTTGATTTTCAAGCATTACCTCTGTTTATTTTGGCTTGAAATTGGTTTAGCAATCCATTTGGTAATGTCAATGCATAATTCAAGAAAAGAGGACATGCTTCACAAATCACTTGTATAACTGTTCAAATATATGCATGAATTCAAAACATATTTTGTCTTGTGGTTATTTTGTGTCAGAACTAAAATGACATTAGGACAAGTCTAATGTTAATTTTAAACACTGTGCCTTTACACAAGAGATATCGGTCTATCTGGTCTTCCATTATGCTCCGCTGATACAACAAAAATCAATCTGTAAAGGGACTTTAGCCAAAGGATCATTGAAAAAGACTTGTTCCAGAGGAAATAAAATCCAATTTATTATTAGGTTTTTATTAGGTTTATGATGATAAAATATATAACTTTCAAGAAGAGTATCTTAAGCTCCATGGTTGTTCATAATTAGCTTCAGACTGAGCTACACAATTTAATTTTAAGAACATCATATTCAGTTGCAGAATTCCCAGTGGAGAACTACATTACCCACACTGCTCAAAAGAGATCTACCAATAAGAGAAGGCGTTGTTACCATGGAAGCAAGAAATGCAGCAATCTCACTCTATAGTAATCCAACACATGAAAATCTCTCTACATTTAAAAACAACTGATTTATTTTGTATATACTGCATATTATAACGTTGACTTATAGCTAATTGTTTGTCGGTTTTATTTTTTGTAGGCCAAAACATGAAAACAAGTTAGCATTTTATCACTTCCACTTCCATCGTCTTGAAATCAATCAAATCAATTTTTTTTTTTTTGGTTTTAGGTTAAAGGCCTGGAATAAGATCTGTGGTTTACACAATCTCAACATATGTTCATGCTTTATTCTACAGCATAAAGTATATCAGTAATACCCCCTCGTGATTTTCGAACCCAAATTTTAAGGGAAAATATTATTCAAATAAAGCACTTGATAATACTCGATGGGTTTGTAGGGCTTGTTTGGTGGCGATAGTATTAAGAACATATTTATGTTCCTAAATGTCTACCCCCCACTTGTACAACTATAGCCTCACAAGTCTGAATACCAGAGCTGAAACATTGCTCGAACCAGAGCTTGAATGTTTTAAGCTATTAAGAGCTGACACTTGTTATTCATCTACATTAGTGGCAGCCATTCTGTTTCCTGCCTGTTCAGCATGGACAGCCATCACTTCTTTATTAAAGCTAAGGGAAAGAGAGAGTGATGCACTGGATATATGTGCATGTCTCTTTGACAAACGATGGATCTATAAAGCAGCTAATCAAAAATAACAACCACATAGAGTTGGAAGCATAAGAAAGATGTTCTTGTTCATTGCATTTGTATCATCAGCACTTCTATGCTTTGGAATACGAAGATAAAACTACAGACAAATGAATTAAGCACTCAGATGTGTGTGCAGCAAAGGGAACTCACAGGCATGTCTGCATAAAAGTAGTGCTTCCTGTCGAACAGTGACTTCCTGTTGATGGTACAGTTGAAAGCAAGGCCTGTCAATACAGCAGCCTCCACACATCTTCTGTTCAGCACCTTAGGAAACGAAGCAGCAAGACATTCAATAGCATTTATAAATGCAATGAAATGACATATATAGTGTAGATTTATATTAATATATAATTGAGAATCAATTTTTTTTATCAATTTTTATGGTAATTCAATTGATTTACTTACTGGCAGTGTTCCTGGTAACGAAGCATCAAAATGTGAGACAAGCGAATTCGGTGGAGCCAAGAATTTAACATGAGATCCAGAAAAGAGCTTTGATGTGGACTGAATCTGAGCGTGGATTTCCAGACCCACAACACCAACCAATTGAGGAAGACTAGAAAACATACAGTAGCACAAGAGATGAAGAGCTGGTGAGAACTGGTGACTCTCTACAGTTACTTTAATACATAGGATATTAAAAGACAATTATATAATGCTTTAAAAATAAGCATCTCAATTCTATTAAATTATGAGTTTATGGTATATGAAGATATACAAGTCAAAGTTTAAATAAACGGTATATTGGTCTAATTTAAATCCAAACAATGAGATTGATTATTATCCCTTGGATAACTGCTAGTTGGTCAAACTAGTTAAGAGAGAGTTATGTTGTTTTTTTTAAATGCAATTAAAAATATGTAATTATAAAAAGAAAAAGGACAAGTAAAAATGTATACCTCAGTTACTATAATGCTTTGAGTCAGAAGTCCAATAACTGGATTTGTATGTTGGTATCAAATTAATACACACTACCATTCAAAAACGGAGTCAGTACACAGTAAGTGTTGTTACTGATTTTTAATCAGGAACAACACAATAAATTGATCAAAAGTGACAGTAAAGACATTTAATATTATATAAGATTTATATTTCAAATAAATGATGTTCTTTTGCACTTTCTATACGTCATAGAATCTTGAAAAGAAATTCATCATGTTCTCATAAAAATAATAAACAGCACAAATGTTTTCAACATTGATAATAATGAGAAATGTTACTCGAGAACCAAATCAGAATATTAGAATGATTTCTGAACGATCATGTAACACTTTGTCATCAGAAGAATAAATTACATTTTTAAATATATTAAAATAGAAGACAGGTATTTTAAATTGCAATAATATTTCACAATATTTCTGCTATTCATATTTTTTATCAAATAAATGCACCTTAGATGAGAACAAGGGACAATAAACTGTTGAACTGTGTTCTCATGATAATGATAAATGTCAAGATGTGGCTATAGCTGGCTTGCTGGTTTTACTGATTAAATTTGATGAATAACAATTCTTTGCATCGAAGATTTTATGTGGCTATTGAGAAAAATACACCTACACTAAGTATGATTAATTGGAGTAAAAAAATGTGAGAACTAGCCAGGATGGACTCACCTGTAAAAATGTCTATGTACAGTACTTTAATTCATTTCAATTATTATTATCAGTTTGTTTTATTTTTTTCGGGTTTTTTTTTTTTAACAAACCAACTATTATCAAACACCATGCGTTCTTCTTTGTAGTATCTGTAATTAATGGGATTTACATTTTATATATTTTTTAGAGCACACAAAGTCAAGGTCAGCGATCAAGAGGTGGCTTGCAGTCTGTCAGCAAACCTACACTCCATTAATTTATTCGATTAAACCAGAGAAAGACTATTATTCAAATTCCGTGTATCATGTTGATGACAAATGTCAGAAAGCCTGGTTATATCCGTCTCCAAATATATTAATCTCCTATTTACAGTAGACAGCATTTTCGATTTTGGGGGTTATTTGATGCCTACCTTTTATTCTGTACTTTGGGCTTAAGTTGTTTTTTTGATCCGGATGTCCATATTGTCCTTATCACGAAATTAAAAGTATTAATATGATACAAATTTTGTGATTTATTAGTATATTTAAACAAAAGCATTCTGCTGTATCCTGAAGAGGAGGCTGCCATGCTTGTGTTTGTGTTTGGGCAGCTGGTGCATGTAGTTTTACAGAGAAACCAGGAACCCGCTGATGTACCGTAGGATAATGAAGAAAGAACTTCAACTCCCACAATCCCAGTGGCGTAACGTCAATGTTTCCGGCGATTTTTTATGACGGGCCGGCATTTACAAACCGCGAAATCTCATAACTGTGTTGTTGCTGGCGGGAGATTCACGCATGGTCCTGCACGTGAATGATCATTTTTGATCACCCCTCTATTTTCAGTACTAACTTACTAGCCTTTCGCTCGTCTCAGTTTACAATGGCACTTCAACAAAACGGGACCGCATCCAAAATGCCCAAACACAACGACGAAACTTCCAGCCATCATCCAGCTTTAAATGGGTACGAAGAAATCAAGAGCAGTCAGGCTGAGAGATTCACTTTCACCCCCGAACCAACACTTGAAGATATCCGCCACATGCAGGCTCAGTTCACGGACGAAAGGAACTGGAACCAGTTCCACCAGCCGAGGAACCTGCTGCTTGCGCTGGTCGGAGAGGTCGGGGAAGTGTCGGAGCTGTTTCAGTGGCGCGGGGAGGTGGCGGAAGGTCTACCGGACTGGACCGAGCCGGAGCGGGAACATCTGGCTCAGGAACTCAGCGACGTATTGATCTATCTGGTTGAACTGGCCGAGAAATGCCACGTTGATTTACCTCAAGCTGTTCTGCGCAAAATGGCTCTCAATCGACTCAAGTATCCGGCCAGCAAAGTTCATGGATCAGCTAAGAAATACACGGAATACAAGGACTGATGTGGTGTGGGTGATTTCGTGCTGTAACTGTTCCTAGCCAAAGACGATCGTTACTGAACAGCATATTCGAGGGAACTGATGTTAAATGCCTTATGTTCCAAACTGTACAATTCCACTGGACTCTTCTTTTTTTTTTTAAAGATTTTTTTTGTTATAGTTTGGCACTACTATCCTTGGTTTTACATTAAGCTTTTATATCCAAGAATCTGTATGTATTGTAAGAAGCAATGTTTGCACATTTACATATGTAAGCAACTTCGTTTTAAAGGTCTTCTGTTTTTATTTTACCGAACAGAGCTTATATAGTTACTTTGTGCTTTTGTAGTGTTTTTGCATCACAGTAAACTGTTTTGCCGCACACACGGTCTCTGCAGCTGTTCACTCTGGAAACATCCAAACTGATATTTTCAAGCACAGCTGCATATAGCTGTACTGATACAGAATTATTTGATTCTGCCCCTCAAGGTCCTGAACAAACACATCTGTTGGAAGCGAATGCGATCTTGGTTTAAAGTCATGGTATATTATTGGAGTGCATTAAAAAAATCCGATTTTTGGCATTGCAAAATGAGTATAATTGAGAAAAATCTTGGTTTTGAAAATGAGTCAAAACTTAACACCTAATGTTTTAGGTATTTGTCTATTTTGACAGAGGTGTTCACAAAACATTTTTATACTGATCTTCAAAATTTTCTGGAATTATCCATAAATGCCCGATTCTCCCTCCTGCGCACCTGATATTAAAGCTTAAACCAACCATGGTTTGTAGAAATTATTATTGTATTTTAGAAAATAAACTAAACACAACCATGATTCTTAGATCAGATGGTTTGTTAATCTTCACAAATGGACAACTTTTCAGCTTCACAAAGCTTCTGACAACAGTTTCAGTCAATTCAGTTCAGAAGAATCATATTCTGTATAAATATATTCTGTAATCAAATACTGTGCAAGAGCTTGACGATAAGGGTCAGTGACATGATATGCGTATTCCGAGTCCAAGTGCATTATTTCTTTTTAAAATTATTTGATAAATTCATGACATGTATCACTTTATTCTATAAAACCAATTTAGTTTGAGTTAATTTTCGATACATTAAAATTATAAATATTATTTTATGTTTTGGTTTCTTAAACCCACAAAATGTCAGATGATGCAAGTGTTCTCGCAAATGAAGAGAAACCTGTTTAAGATAGTGTTTTAATAAGAAATTCTAAATAAAATACTTAATAATGGCATACTATTATGTTTGAAACCTTTCCCATGAACAAATTTAATAAAAATCAGTAGTTTTAAAGCTGTTGAAATCATTGAAAAACATTTGTCTGGCAATTTGTAAATTCTCAAATGTCAGGGTGGCACAACAGCAAACATGGGTCTTTTATTTTGAATTTGAATAACAGTAATGATAATGCAACATCCTGAGGGCCGCGCCCCATCCTGAAAGGTTTGTAGTTCACTTAAATGATCAAAATAGATACTTCACAGTATATGTAGGTCGATACACTCCACGTCAGGTGGTACAATCAATGTAGTACTAGGATGCCTTTTCATCATAAACTTCTTTGTTATTGGAAAATTCAGTCTCCATCTGAAATTGCATACTCTTTTACACTTAATCAAGATTTTGAATTGGTAAAAAAATTAGGCCTGCTTATAGACTGCTAAAAAAATAGATTCTATAGTATGAAAGTGTGTAGTATGAATGTAATCTGGATGTATACTACATTCAGCATGTTGTCTTTATGACCTAGCGTTAGTTGCGTCACTTCACTGCTTTCACAAATTTTCTCCCATGGCCTCATGACATAGTAAAGTGTTCATTTTATGCACACTTCAGAATCTGGAAGTAGTAGATCATCCATGCAGGTACTATTTGCCTTCAATTTTCTCTTTTATGAGTATTGTAGATTCGGACATACTTCTTTTGTCACATACTGTTTTTCGCCTATAGATAGTAGGGAAGTATGCGATTTAGGATGCAGCCCATATGTATGAACTTGCTAGCAGGCAAAAGCTAATACAGGCTTTAAAATATAAAAGACTGTTCAATGTAAAATTTGTTGCAGATATCAGGTGGTGCAACTGCAATAAATAAAGTAAAAAACATTATTTAAGCTAAATAAATAATACATTTAAGCTAAGATTGTCTATTATTATTATTTTTTTATTATTGTTCTAAAATGTTAAAGATGTTTTATACTTTTAATTATTTTAACAATAATAATTTAAAAGTAAATAATCAGTCCCACTTTATAGGTGCAACTATGTAATCACATCAAAAGTAAAAACAAAACAAACAAAATTATTAGCGAAACACTTGTGCTGCTTTTTTAGGTGGGATACTGCTGGTAAGATAGGGATATGTTTGTTTGCTGGTATAGGTTTCAGGGTGGGTTGAAGTGCAAAGGGGTAAGATAACGGTCAACAGTGTATGAATTAGATGTAACATGCTGGCATTTTTAATTTAAAATTCCCAACTTAATGAGGCTGACGATTATTGTTGCATCAATAAAAAAATGATAGTTATATTCAATCACAAGATTACTGTGTATCTACAGTAACCATATTGGACTGTAGCCTATCAATTCACTCACTTTACTCAATTTACTTAAAGAGATTGTTGACTAAAACACTTGTTTTTGTATTTTTTTTTTTTTTGTAATTGAAATAAAGAATCTAGCATTCTGCATTTACCATGTAATTATTAATGTTGTCAGGTGGCACAACTATCATCAGTTAATTGGTACAATCTAAATTATTGATATAGAATGCCTATTGAAAGAATGCCTATTGGATGCTAAAAAGATACTAAATAAATTGCCACTAGACTGCATAATTATAATATAGGCTATTTGATTGCACCACCTGACAAAAAAAAAAAGTTGAAACTTGAAAAATTGAACAATTGAAACTTGTTTTAACACATTATTCCAGGCTAAAAAAAAAAACGCTTCTGAAACTTCTGTAGTCCAATTTATTCATGTTAGCAACTGCCCTTAATGAAATCTCAAGGGGGGATTAATTGTGTTTTTTGTCAGAATAAAATGTGAAAATATCTTGATCTCATGTAAACCACTGACCTTTACTTAAGAACCTATTAAAAAACCCACTGACTTTGGGGTAATGGAACAAGAAGTGCTAAAATAAACACATTTCCAGTTTTTAGCCTACAAAAATACATAATCCCTGCAACATTATGCCCTTCAGAGAATTATGAAATGACATCTGACTTTCTGGTTATCATCCTGTAGTGTTTGTTTTTAGCCAAGTAAAGGTTTGGATACCTGATTCAATTCATCAGCTTAGTAGAGTGTTTCATCTCCTGAGCTAGTGTAAGATGCCTTGAATTAACACTTCAGTGCTGAGGAACCTTTAGGAAAGATATACTATTAAAGAAAGTGTCTGATACAAACAAAGTAGACTTCTTTGGTAAATAGATTGTAGAGTAGCCTACCTTAATAGATTATTTAAAAATGTTTATATTTATACAATTTTTACAGGAAACCATTTTCTTTTCAGAACCACACTCTCACTGCACTGTTACTGATTAAGTATCAGAATAGTATGTAATCAATAGATTTGATCTTTTTCCAACTCAGTGCTGGCGATCGAAGAAGGCCATCTGCAGCTTTTCATTGTTTCCGGATTTAAAAGATTTGAGGGATTTACCAAAGTCTGTTTTAACAGAGGTTTTTTATCTATGACTGCTGTTTAGTAAATAAATAGTTTTTATTGCAGTATAAAAATAGCTAAAGAATAATAAAGAGGATACGAACAGAAGTTGAATCTCCCCGACATTGTTGATCTATTGTGTATCCCTCTGTCTGCTTCTGCCAGAGCGGGGGGCAGAGTGAGCTGTCAGCGTCCTGCACCATAGGGGATGCCGTACCACTGCTTTCCCCCTCGCTCAGTGATTTCTCATGCCACTCTTTAGTCTTTCGTAGCCAGACAGTGATTTTCCCAGCATCTCTTTTTCATTTGATGTCATCCAGACCCAGGGCTGGACTGGGACAAAAATTGGGGCATTTTGGCCCAGAATGGCCCACATATAATCACAAATACAACCAAACTTTGCACGCCCTTGAATATGTATATTTACCAACTCCTATTAAAACCACTAATACCATGTTATAAGTGTATAGAAGTAAGTAAAAGTTAAGAGATGAAATAACTTTTTCAGTTTGTAACTGTTTTCTTTATTTCACATGTAAAGAAAACATCTTAAAGATGTTTGTTTAACTTTTGGATTCAGTTTTAAATGTTCTGTTGGTTGCATTTTATCCCAGCTTTTATGTAGTGTTAAAAAAATGAAACAGGAAGTGCTTCTGGACCAGTGTTGTTTACATCTTGTGAAATGGTCTATACTCCACACTAATCCTGAAAGTCACAAGCTGAATTTGCATAGCAATACTGATTTTTTCCCACATGATTTTGGGAAATCTGTGGTGAGTGCAACTCTGTCCCGGAGGGTTGGGGGGCATGCTCCCCTGTAAGAAAATTTTGTGCTATTTAATGATAAATTCATCAATCTGGTGCACTTTGAGAGTTCAAAATTAAAAGCTCCAACCCATATTCAGTGTGCAAATTGAAAAAAAAAGAAAAACTCAAAATTCTTTTAGCTGTGATGTCTGTGTCTACATTACTCTAATACTAGTTATAGCCTAATGTTAATTCCATGGCAGTAATAGTCATATGTTGTAAAACAAATGCACTGAAAAATAAAAGCAACTTTCATAATTAGTTTTGTACTCATTTCTATAGGCCTACTTGAGAGAGATAAGCACATGATCTTTTATTTTGACGGAAACAACATCAATCTTTTATTTTGGCGAAAAACATTGTTTACATGGTTTCGTCATTACAATTCGAATAAAATGTGTAATTGTCAAACATGCAGATGTGGAAATAATGAGTAACTGGGTAGTGGGTTCCCACATAGCCTGTTCTGCCTAGTTCTGCTTACCACAGTTCTCTACACTCACTCACTAATACTTATCCTCCTCACTATCCTCATCTGCCACTTGAAGGGCCTTTGAAGTTTGTTTTTTTCACACTATTTCTCTGGACATTCCTCGCGTTTTTCTCCATCGCTCTGACTATTTTGACAGACACACACTTACTGCTCGTTCACTCAGAGCTCAAAGGGGGAGGTGTTTAAAGATGAAAATGGACCAGCCCAGTTTCAATCAAAATATGGGCCTCTGATCTACGCGTTTCATGTGCTGGTCTGTGAGAAAAAAAATAAACCGCTGTGTCCAATGCATTACACCGGCACAAAGATCCGCCAATAGCTGGGTTTTAGTCACGTGATTTTGATGATGCATGAAATTCAGATGGAGGGCAGGGAGCGTAAAAG